TTTTAGATTTTGCTTTAGCGTATGATTTTGTTATTACTAATATTTTATTCAAGAAAAAAGATGAGCATCTTGTTACTTATAAGAGTGGATCTAATAAAACACAAATTGATTATTTTCTTATGAGAAGAAGAGATCGTCGCGATTGTAAAGATTGTAAGGTCATTCCAAGTGAAAATTTAAGTACCCAATATCGTTTATTAGTTTTAGATTTTAAAATTAAAAGTTGTAAAATAAAAAATACTAGGACTTATCATCCTAGAATTAGATAGAGAAACATAAAAGACACAAATAAAATTATTTTTATGAGTAAAATTCAGGATTTCAAAATTTGGGATATTCATGAAGGAGCAAATGTTATGTGGGATAAAGTAACAAACACTATTAAACAATTAGCAAAAGATGTGCTTGGAGAATAAAAAAAAATATTTACAAATAAAAATAGTTGGTGGTAGAATAATAATGTGCAAGAAAAGATAAAATATAAGAAAATATGTTATAAAAATTGTTTACAAAAAGTATTTTTCTTAGAAAAAGATATTCAACATAGGTGGGTGAGTTACTTTGATAAACTTTTTAATGAAGTTTCTGAAAATACGATCGACCTTAGTGATCTTAATATCGCGAATAATAATAAAACGTTTCATTTTTACCATCGCATTAGCAAAAAAAAAGAAGTTGATGAGTCTTTAAAGAAAATTAAGGGTGGAAAGTCTGTAGGACCTGATGATATCCCAATTGAAGTGTGAAAATATTTGGGAGATTTGGAAGTTTCTTGGTTTACTAAACTCTTTAATAGTATTTTAAAAATTAAAAAGATGCCTGAGGAGTGGAGGAAGAGTATTTTGGTCCCCATTTTTAAGAATAAAGGGGATGCAGAAGAGTGTGCAAATTATCGAGGAATTAAGTTGATGTGTCATACTTTAAAATTATGGGAGAGGGTAATTGAACATAGTTTAAGACACATCATTAAAATTTCTCATAGTCAATTTGGATTTATGCCAGCCACGTCTATTATGGAAGCTATACATTTATTGAGAGGTTTGATGGAGAAGTTCAGAGATAATAATAAGAATCTACATTTGATTTTTATTGATTTAGAAAAAGCTTACGATAAGGTCCCAAGAGATATCCTTTGGAGAGTTCTAGAGAAGAAATGTGTTGATATGACTTATATTCAAGTCATTAAAGATATGTATACTAGAGCTGTTACTTGTTTGAATAGAAGGAGGATTGATCAAATATTTTCCTATTTTAGTTGGATTATATCTGATATCGGCTTTAAGCCCATATTTTTTTTCTTTAGTTATGGATGGTCTTACTGGACATCTACAGGAGGATGTACCTT